ACCCTCTCTCTTCCCCTCTCCCACCTCCTTTTCCCAGTCTCCCCGAGTTTTGTTCAATAAAGAGAGTTTCTATTTTTGAACACACATGTCCTTTATTTTGTACATGAGGAAGGAGGGCTAGGGAGGGGTAAGTGGAAGGAGGTGAGGGAGGAATGGGGTACGAGCCCCCGATGGGGAGGACTGGGGTGGCTCTGTGGGATTCTCGGGGTGGAAACTCTCCTGAAGCCCCTTGATTGACCCCCCCTCCAGATGGCAGCCTACAGCAAGTGCAGCCGGGCTGATGGCCGAGTGCTGTGATGTGCCAACTGTGGGCACTCAGGGCACTTCAAGCCAGGACTGCTTTGCAAGCAGGGCACCCCTGAGAACTGTCTGTCCGGGGTGGGGGTCGGGTCCCTTTAAGCACAGCCCTTGGCTAGCCTGAGACAGCAGCTCCACGCTCTAAGTCCTCATCTGATGCCCTGCCGGCATTGCTTCCGGCCATCCTTAACCTCAGTTCAGGGTCCACTCAGTGTGGACATGCTAGTTCGAATTAGCAAAATGCTAATTCGAACTAGTTTTAAGTCTAGATGCGCTAATTCGAATTAGCTTAGTTCGAATTAACTAATTCGAACTAAGTTAGTTCGAATTAGTGCTGTAGTGTAGACATACCCTAGGGTGCCACAGGACTACTCGTTTTTAAAATATTGAGGGGTGAGGGACAGGACACTGCTCAAGAGGTGAGGCAAGCGACACAAGGGGCAAGGGCAAGTGACACAATCTGGCTGTCCCAGGATTGCTGCTGGGGAAGGAGCCTAAGGCCAGCAGCATCAGCTGTCGGGGGCCATGTCTGGGACTGCTACTCATGCAGGCACCCGGGCCAGCCATACCTGCTTCTGCCTAGGCAATTCCTGAGACAGCTGCGCTGGCCACTGCAAAAGTCACAGAAGTCATAGCACATCATGAAATCTGTGATTTCCATGGCCTTTGTGACAGACATAGATCCCTAAGTAATACATTAAAACGATACATCTACTTGCTGAATAAAATGCATGTTGATCAAGCGCACATTTGCCAGTTCAGAAGAGGAAATTCAGTAGAGGCATGATACAGAACCTTTTTAGAGTAACACTGCCTATGACATGTATAAGTAATGATGACAACAAACACAGCCCAGGTTTATTTAGTGCAACATGAATTTAGACAGGATTCTTTGCTCTGATTTGTTAGATTATTCTGTCTGATGTGGTGCTCTTGATGTCTCAAGTGAATTTAAAAAAAAAACACACACCAATGGTTCAATTTAAAAAACAAAACAAAACACTGAAAAAATGTTGAGTTTGCACATATCCCTGTGCTTTTCGTGCCTTTTTCACACACCTCTGAACAATCACAACCCTGACATTTCCCTTTCCAGAAAAGGATTAGGGGCCTAGAATAATATTGTGAACTGCATTTCACTAGGGCTTGTGCCATGATTACTATATCAGTGGGAAACCACACCCATAACTGACCGTTGTACCGGTAAGATTGTCAAGATCAGCCCACAGTGACTCTGCTAAAACCAATCCTGTAGTTTATTAGAGACCCTGCAAGTCTTCCCCCTTCTCAGGCATTCTAGGAATCTTTCCGAAGCAGATAACAGCAGAAGCAAGATATGTGACCTCTAGTGATCTCTGTTGTAGGCTGTGGAGGCTCTGCCTGTCATCAGCCTGTTGCCAGCCTCTTGGGAAACCACCTCAGGCCATGGATGGTGCCAAATATTAATCAGCTGAAAATTCCTTTCTCTCCAAAAGGCATTCTTTGAATAGCACTTCCCTGACAGCACTGGGAAAATCCCGGAGGCTAGCTTCAGGGAAAGGAGCTTAGGGATGGGACACAAACTAACGCTGCTGACCCTCCTGGAAGAAGCCTTGCAGTCAAAGCGGAGAGTTGATTAGAACAGACTATTGGTTCAGTTAAAGCAGGAAAAAAATCTTCCAAGTTGGACAAGTCCTAAGTGGAGTGAGTATCGCCTGGCCAAGAGTCACGCTAGAGACCAGGGAGCCATGACAGACAGTCCATTCTACCTAGGATGGAGTGTTTATAAAGAGCCATGGGTGCCAGTCAGCCAACATACTTATTTCAGGGGATATGATGTGTAGGGGAGCGGACATGTTGTGGTCTGGCCACCCTTAAATAAGGGACTTAAGTAGGCACTTTGCTGGGTTAAAGAAATATAAATGCACACAGTGATGAATACATCTGGCATTGGCCACTGTCAGAAAACAAGATACCAAGCTAGACAGACCATTAGTCTGACCCAGTATGGCCATTGTTATGTTGTTGTATTCTGACACTATACCACATTTAGGCCACTTTATTTCTGAGTGTGTCCACATGGGAGTTTAACTAATCTACTTTGAATTCTCTCCTTTAGGCTTGGTCTACCCTTGTAAGTTTAAAGCACAGGCATGGCAGCACTTTAATGCAGCAATGTGGTCATGACGCCAGCTCTGAGAGACAGAGACAGAGACAGAGAGCGCTCTCCCCAGATAATCATAGAATCCTAGAACTGGAAGGGACCTCAAGAGGTCATCGAGTCCAGTCCCTGCCCTCATGGCAGGACCAAGCACTGTCTAGATCATCCCAGACTGGTGTCTAACCTGCTCTTAAGTATCTCCAGTGATGGAGATTCCACAACCCCCATAGACAATTTATTCCAGTGCTTAACCACTCCAGGAAGTTTTTCCTAATGTCCAATTTAAACCTCCCTTGTTGAAATTTAAGCCCATTGCTTCTTGTCTTATCCTCATAGGCCAAGGAGAACAATTTTTCTCCCTCCTCCTTGTAACATCCTTTTAGATACCTGAAAACTGCTATCATGTTCCCTCTCAGTCTTTTTTATAAACTAAACAAGCCCAGTTCTTTCAGTGTTCCCTCACAAATCATGTTTTCTAGACCTTTAATCATTTTGTTGCCCATGGTAAACCACTTCCACAAGATGAGCAGATAACAGCACTGGGAGCTTGTTTACACTGGTGCTTCTTACAGCGCTGTAACTTGTTGTACTTGAAGATGGGGGTGGAGGTGTTTTTTCCACCTCTCTAAGGAGAAAGTTATAGCGTGGTAAAGTGGAAATGTAGACAAGCTCTTAATTTGGATTAACTTTCCCGAGCATCCCTAAGCAGACAAGACTTTAGTGTCTGCATATGTGGATTTATTCTTCAATAGCTCTTTGAAGAGGCAAGTTCTTACTCAGTTGCTACTCCTACTGAATGGAAATCTACTGCTCAATTACTTTTGCAGAATAAACAATGTTATTTTCCCACCATGATGGTTTTACAGAGCTTGTTAGTACCCGCAGAGATGTGATCTACATCTCTTTAAATCAGCACCCTGAGGCTCTCTTTGCAGATTAGTATTTTAAGCCATCCTCTCAGTGACTAATCAGCTAGTGCTGTGGGTGTGTGCCAAAGAGAGGAGGCTAATAACTCCTTAGGGTACTGCCTGGAGGGGAAGGTTTCTGACTGAAAGGCAGCAGGGGCATTTCCAACAAAAAATCCTCTCACAGGGAATACGAGGGGTTCCATCTCCAAAGGGTAAAAAAAACACAGAGGCCAGCACTTCAGTGTCATTCTGCTCAAAGTTTCTAGCAGAGGTCAGTGGGAGACAAGAGAATGAGACTGGATAGACTCCACCAATGAAATCCATCAGTACCAAGGTTTTGGCAGCTTCAGGGGCTCCATATTGACAAACACAATGCACTTTGTTGGGCCAAGAACAAGACTTGCCCTAGTATCTCTTCCCCAGAAAATCACCATTAGGGTGACCCCAGTATAAATGCATGCACGCTGACTTGTATTTCCACTCACCCCTTTTCCTCCAGATTTCTGGTCAAATGGTACCATGGTGATTCGTTTCGATTCCCTCTGATATGTGCAGTAATGCTTTACCCAGGAAGTCCCAAAGTGACCTATAACAGAATTTAAGGTTTGAGACTTCTAGCAATTAACTTCAGCCTACAAAGCAGTCATGTTACCAACGTCACACCTTTACTGATAAATTAAACACCCTAAGAAGAACAATACAGATTTCTGCATCGATACCTCTGAAAAGCATTTTATTAAAGTGAGTAGAAGCATCATCATCCCTGCTGCATGGAGGGGAGAGCCGACATGCAGAGTTAAATCAATCACTGGCAGAGTCAGGAACAGCACCAGGTATACAGGCACTAGGGATGTTAGCTACTGGTTAACTGAATAGTCGACTAACCATGTGAATTCTTAGTGATTAATTGACTATTCTATAGTCCCCAGGGGCAGGGCCTGAAGCCAGTTCAATCCAGCCCCCTTTCATGCCATCCCGCACTGCCTCTCTCAGGGTACCATACGGGAGACGGTCCATAAGAGGAGCCAGTTTAAAAATCAGTTCCTCGCACGGACTAGCTGCCCCACGCTGCTGCCTCTGATACAGGTCATCCCTGTTTGTGGGGGGTCCAAGCTCCCCAGGGACAAAGGCTGCTGGCAGGGGAGTTACCATAAAGCAGCCTCTGTCCGCGGCTAGCATCAGCACTGCTGTGGACGGAGGCTGCGCCGCAGGATGTGGAACAGCCTCTGCCTGCAGCAAGCTTGGACCTGCTGCGGGCATGAGCTGCTGCTACAAAACAGCCTCTGCCTCCGGTGGGCCTGGGTTCACTGCGGGCAGAGGCTGCTTCATGGCAGACTCCTCTGCCGCCCTCCTCCCCATACCGCCTCTTCTGGACTATCCTTTCTCTTCACAGAAATAAAAGATAGAATTGACTCAGTAGATCATTTAGGAGTCTTTCCTGGCCAGAAGATCAGGCCATTAGTAGTTGGATTTTAGACTCTCTTCCTACCAGAGCAGGGTCTTCTCTATTTCCGAGATCTTTACTGCTGACCACACAGAGTGGTAAGACATCTTGCTGGGAAAGGCTTTGAATCACATGCCAGTCTTGGAGAATTTCAAAAAGTCACATGGCCCGAGCAAAGTGCTTACGGGGTAGACCCCACCTCTTCAAGTTAGTACTATGCATAATTTTCAGGGACTGCAAAGAGAGCATGCAAAAGAGCTGACTGTTTCAGCAGAAAGAGACTGACTGACTGCCTCATCGGGTATAAAAACTAGAGATAAGCGACTAGTTGACTACCCGATAAGCATAGACTTATCAGTCAGTCAATTCACTTCTTGACTAGTCACTCTCTCCCTCTTGCTGCCTTTGTTTCAGAGGCAGCAAGGGTGGGGGAGCAGGAGCCTTAAAAGCAGGAGCTTAAAAGCCGGTTTCCCCCCAGTACCATCTCCATGGCGGGGCAGGCAGAGCCGCAGCAGGAAACAGCACGAGCGGGGACTGAAGCAGTCTCCACTTGCGCTGATCCAACTGATACATTTCAAAAGCAGAAGCAGCACAGCGGGAACACAGGGCGAGTCCCCCCCATTCAAGTAGTCTCCACTCACTCCAGTTTCCCCGCTGTGTCTCTGCCTTTTAAATGTAGTAAGAGCCTCACACTACATTCAAAAGGCAGAGGTGCAGCTGGGATAGCGAGCCCCCTGCCCAACCCCTTATCGACTAATCAAGGAGTTGATGGAAATGCCGCTGACTACTCAATTCGCTGATTAATCGAAATTTAACATCCCTAGTAAAAACTCAGCGGGCAGGTAAAAGTGTCGTTGGCCCTGCAAGATACAGCTGCAGCACCGTAATGCAGAGTCTTCAGGGGAAGCGGAAAGAGATGGAGATAATCTCCCAGAACTGCAGGACACGGGCCCACCAACAGGGCAGACGCTCCTGCAGAGAGCTGCACAAGCAGCTACCCTATGCCTGTAATTCAACCCAACTTGAGAACTGACAGGATTTGTTTCCTCCTCTACTTCCCCCACCACTTGCCATTTCACATGGGCCCAGGCTCCCATTCCCCACTTTCATCTCCTCTCGAGTGGCAGCACAGAAAGCAACTCAGTAACTACAAGGCAATAGCACTTACGTTTCTCCTGGACATAGAGATAGCCCTCCATTGTGTAAGGGCTGATGTTCTTGTGCTCATGGGGATTCTCCTTCATCTTTTTCATCAAGGACTCCACCTCTGACCGGGTTCCTTCAAAACGATTTCTTGTCTACAATATTTAAAAACTATATTATCCATTACCCATGTTTCCACAGAGCTTTCAATACACATAGCACTTCCTATGTGCCAGCAAATAAATGTACATAGAGGGAACAGTGGCCAACTTTATTTGATTCACATTGTATTTCTTTGCCCTCTTTACATCTAGGTGTAAACCCTCACAGTTTCTGCAGCCCTGCTTCAACAACACATGCCAAAGACTTCATTGGGACTTACCTTCATATTTAAACACTTTGCTGAATATGAATGGACTTAAGCATATACTTGCCTTAGTCGGGGGTCTCTGATCCCTCAACTCGTAGTTTTCAAGGCTACCAGTTACGGTTGGGGCTGGCAGCCCTGCCAACTATTCAGACTACCCAATGCTTCCCATTAGAACACCCCGTTTTCAGTTACTTGTAACTCTGTCAAACTTTAACAGCTTGGGCTGAAGTTTTCTAGGCCAGGTGTCTGCCTCAGGCTGACTTTTACTGGAAAATTTCAGTCAAAGTGATTTGGGTATTTCTGAGAATGAAGTGGGGGAGAAAAGCACATTTTGGACATACTAAATTCTGTCGGGGACGTGCCTTTTGCCATTCCTGTGGAAAAAATCATTCTGATTTGGCCAGGTCATAAACGTTAAAACAAGAACAGTCTGCACATGCTCAGTAGATACTTGCTAGAGTTTCAGCTTAATTTCCTAAAGATCTCACCTTCTTCTGTATGCAATCCATAGATTGGGGCTGAGCAGGTTTTCCCTGCAATTGCAGCTGCGGGTCTCTATGGACCATGCCAGTTCCAGGTCAGGGCAATGGAGCCTATCAGTGCTCTACTTAGTCTAAGCAACATGAAGAAGAAAGCTGCCTGAACTGAACACACAAGTCAGGCCTGGCCTTAGGGCAAGGCGAGCAAGGCGGCTGCCTTGGGCCCCATGCCTTCAGGGCCCTGCGCTGCCTGCCTGCCTGTCTATTTGCTCGCTGCTCAGGCTGGGAGCTGCCCGGCCACACAGCCGCTGTCAGTGTGTCACCGTGAGCCCTGCAAACTCTTTGGCTGGCTTGACAGAAGGCACAAGAGCTGTGGGATAAGTAAATTAGATAAGGAGCTGGGGAGGGAAAAGGAGGGAACCAGACGAACCGGGGAGAAAGACATGACAAGAAGTTAGGGCGCAAGGGGAGAACTATGACTGGCAGTGACACTCTGAACCCAGGCATTCACCAAGGCTTGATTTTGCAATCATAGTAAGATTTTTACCATCATTTCTGAGTGAGAGAGCAAGAGCCATTATAGCATTCTGGGTAGACAGGGAGACAGGAATTTGAAACTTATTTTTTAGTCAAGGACTGTCATCTCCTCTACTCCTGGTGCCTGGCCCTGACAAGGAGGCTGGAAGTCAAATCAGATCTCTTGCACAACCCAGAGCACTAGAACTGTGCTATCCTTGGACACCCATCACACCTCATTTGGACAGGTACCTGAATGAATTCTATTCAACAGTGTCAAGTAGCGTTTGAGACCCAGGCTGGTAAGTGACAGACAGGGACAGATGATCATTTTGCGGGGCCCAGGGCAGCCAAATTTCGTGGGGCCCCCCTTTGCCACGGTGCATGCGTGGGGCTTCTTAAAGCGGCCGCCTCGCTCGCCCAGCCCTATATCCGCCCCTGGTGACAGACCACCGGGGGCCTCAGTTACTGCAGTGTTTGCTGAAAACAGCAGCACCACACAACAAGAGATACACGCCGCGGTCATTCATCAAATGGTTTCACAAGGCTGTATTTAACTTTTCTTGGGGGAAGTGGGAGAGTAAAACGAGCACTGGGGTGTGTGAGGTCTTATGTGAATTTTCTGCTTATTTTGTTTCAGAGAAAATTAAGCCAATGTGTATCCTTTGGAGAAAAATAGTAATCCTAATAAAAAAAGGCAAGCAAGCAATGCACATCTGACCTCCTAAACACAGGCATTAGTCCACCTGCTGGATATTAACCACATGCCTGGCTGACAGTGAAGGGGGTTGTACAAGTTCGAATTTACAGAAATCCCAAGATCTGTAGCTGACCCGAAAAAGGGGCGCAATTCTTAAAATAATTCTTTGCAGTACTCTCTGCACTTGCCATGCCCAGGGGAATACATTGCTATTTGGGCTATGCATGTACTGTAGTGTCATCCTCAAAAAGAATGAGAGAGAAACCTTCCGTTGAGTGGCACACAGGAAAGCTAATTATATAGAGAGGAAAATGTGAATTCTCTGTGCAAGACAGAGACAGAGACAGAGACAGAGACAGAGACAGACAGACAGACAGACAGACAGACACACACACACACACACACACACACACACACACACTTTCCCCTTTACATAGACTCACATTCTGTATGCTGATTGTCAGCTCTGTCTTGAAGTCGCTGAAGTCCTTTGCGAGTTCATAGCCATGATGATAGAATGTGAAGAGCCCCTGAAGGAATGCCAGCAGCTGCAAAGGATCACATGGATCAATACACGTCAACTTTTTCAAACTGACAATGTCACCAAATGGATCAACATTTTAGAGGGGCAGATATTTGGAGCATAAATGGAAACTAATAAATTAGTTAACTATCAGTGGCAGTTGCGCATTTATCTCCTATGGGTGACTTTGAAAAAAGTTTCCCTTTACACTTTAGCAGGTGCACAGACAGAATTAAATCCTTTAGGAGTACTTGTAGGGTCGAGTAAAATAAACAATGAAGAATGAGGGAAGAAGAGAGCAAAGACCCGGATGAGACTGAAGGAAGTTCCAGAAAGTAACCTCTATTTTCTCTCTTCAAGATCAGAGAAAAACCAGGAAATCTGGAATATTGTGCACATATTTCCACAATACTGGGCACATATTTGGCCTTATTGTGCACATATTTCCATGAGATTTCCAGGAAATCTGGAATCTAATATGCCACAATTTACTGAACAAAACAAGAGCCTGTCTAGACAACTCTTACAGAATACCAAGCTGAGCTATTCCGAAAGGTAGGCCTTCTGCTTGTCTAGTAAAAAATCCTACCTAGAACCCCCTCCTCATCCTTGAATAGTTTACCTGTCACTTTTTTGAGAAGAAGAGTCATGCCTTATCTAGGTTAATCAGGCAAGAAGCAGCTAATGCTAAGGTTGACACTTCTATCACTGAAGTTATTCTTCTCTTGAAGGGACTGCAATAGCATGTTATCAAGACCCTCAGAGGGGCTTCAGCAAGCATAAAACCTGAGAACATGCAGAGCCAAGACAGAATTTTTCTACTTAATTTTTATTCCTGTACCATCTCGAAGTCTATTTTTCCTCCTTCTCTTTAAGCCTCAGTTCACTTCAGAACTTCAGATAACCCTGCTGTGGCTCTTAATACATTTAAAAGGCTAAGGCACAATAGGGGACCCAGCACGAGCCAAGAATCAGCTGATTCTCAGCTCACGCCTGGTCCCCACTACCCTTCCCCTTTCCTCACCCCTCCCATGGAAATGGTGCTGGGGGAACCGGCTTTTAAGCTGGCTCCCCCCCAGCACTGTCTCCTGCTCCCACCCCTTGCTGCCTCTGATAGAGGCAGTAAGGGGAGTGGAGGTGACTAGTCAAGGGACTAGTCAACTATCCAATAAGCTTTTGCTTATCGGGTAGTCAACTAGTTGCTTACATCCCTAATTGGAGCCTGTGTAAAATTTTCACCTGAAATTTCCAAGAGGGCTATCCGCACATCTGCATATTTTCTCTCTCTCTCTCTTTCTATATATATATACGTGTCTTAAGGGTTAAAATTCCAGCAACCTAAGGAGTCTGGTCATCCACTAGAACACACACTTCCTACTCGGGGTTACTGCAGTTATTGTTTGTCATACAGCTCTGGCATAGCAAAGATACCAGACTTTCCATTTAAAGAGAAAAAAAAAAGAATGTCTCAGACAAGCCTTTCACACATTGGACCTCTCTAGTCTGGCGCTCTTGATCCAGCAATATCTGTGGTCTGGCATGATTTTAGTTAGCTGGATGTCTACTTCTCATGGGTGCTGCCAAGTTTCCCACAGTCCCACAGCCACCAGTCTTGGCTCTCAGTGATCTGTGCTGTTATGTAGCCTTCCTTTACCCCTACATGTTTTCTAAGAACCCAGTAAGCAATGGAAAGATTGGTAACGCTGCTAGACAATATTGGCCTCCCATGGTTCGGCACTGGTCAGGTCCCAAGGTACCAGACTATAGAGGTTCAACCTGTATACAGTAAAGTAATTTAGTGGGCAGCAACATTCAATAGGATAAGAAACTTTGAACATTCAACTTACAGGTTCCACAAACTCAAACATCTTCCTCTCCTGGACTTCTTGCACCTTGAAGACATACTCGAGGGAGACTTCATAAAAATGCTGTCGAACCAGGTCCACTTGGCTGTCCGCCTTTGAGTACAATGTGGATTAGAGAGGAAATACAATATAACTACTGATTGAACATTTGGCTTCAAGATCATGAGAAAGGTGGGTCTAATGCGGATATGTCCATGCAGAATGTAAATTACCGGTAAGCACCAGATACCAG